AATTTAAAATGAATCAAAATCCACCCACTTGAGCATCTATGTCTACACAACTCTGCAAGACTGCTGGCTTTGTCTCTTGCTTTTAAGAACATTTTTGCCATTAGAATTAGTTCTCATAATTATACAACAAAGACAGATCTTTTTCTCCAGTGGTATAAATTTTGTAACTATTACTTTGGGGCAGAGGCCAAAGAGAGGCCTATTTTATTCTTTGTTAAACTTCAGCATGCCAGTGAACTAAGAGCTTTCCATCTTCACAGCCCAGAGAACATATTGCTAAAAATGAGACACAACTGCTATAAATTGCTTTACTCAACAATCATTTATTATAAATCTTCTTGGTACTTGGCACTAAATTAAATGCTGAGAACACAGGGGAACATAAACACATAAATACATGCACACATACACCCTCCCCACTCAGTTTCTGTCCTGTGAGACTCTCAGTTTAGTCAGGAATATAGGCGCACAACCATATTATTTCAATACATGCAGAGCCTGGTACACAACAGTAAGATTTTGGACGGTGTTTTTAAGAAATGCAGAGTTACAGAATGATTTTAACTTGGGAAGTTAAATGATCATGTTAAAAGTGGGGAAGATGGCTTGTAACGCTAAAGATGCATTGGAGTAAGAGAGAGAAGAGGCATTACTTTAATCGTACTGTCTTTATTTTTTATCTCAGAAGAGAAAAAAGAAAAGAAAAAGGAATGCAACAGAGAAAAGGGGGTGAAGCATCAAGGAGAGCTTTAAGGGTGGAAAGTAAGGTGGAATAATGTCATAGGAGAAAAAGCAGGAAAGAGGTAACAGGTAAAGGGGGAGGGGGAAGAGATGGGCATCATGTTCTTGCTGCTTTCTATGTGTCCATAGCCAGATTAAGGGCACAGAGAGCAGGGCACTCAGGCCACCCCTCTACTAGGGACTACCAAAACATGACACGAACAGGGCCAAATTGTAGTGGCTGCTAGTTAGCTAAAGTGTTTCCTTATAACTGCTAAAATATACATTGAAATGATATCTCCCAAAGAAGGCAGAATCTTGACAAGAAATTAAAACTAACTAAATAAAACCCTCTTTACATTCATCAATCCTGCATTCATCATTATGTCTTTAATAATAACAGGTTGGTGGGACAAAAAACTATTAGCTTGCTTGCTCTACCAAATGATCAACTTTGCTGGGGATGCTCCATGTCTCTGTCAATCCCTGAATATGCATTTAGATATTTTCTCCTTTCTATAGGAACAAAGAAGGGAAAGCAGAGGCTAAAGAGGAGGAAGCTGTTTGGTGAAAGAGAAACATTGGCTTTAGTCTAACCGCACATTAGTACAAGAGCATCTAATATAATTTTTAAAAAACTGACAATCTTTATATATTTTGGATACTAACCCTCTACCAGATATGTCATTTGCAAATATCTTCTCCCATCCAGTAGGTCGTCTTTTAGTTTTGTTGACTGTTTCCTTTGCTGTGCAGAAGCTTTTTATTTTGATGTAGTCTCAATAGTTTATTTTGCTTTTGTTTCCCTAACCTCAGGATATGTATCTAGAAATATGTTGTTACACTTGATGTCAGAGTAATTCTTGTCATGCTCTCTTCTAGGATTTTTATGGTTTCTGGTCTCACTCTTAGACCCTTAATCCATTTTGAGTTTACTTTTGCATATTATGGAAGAAAGTGGTCCAATTTCATTCTTTTGCATGTACCTGTGCTGTTTTTCCAACATCATTTGTTGAAAAGACTTTTTCCCATTGCATATTCTTACCTCCTTTGGTGAAGATTAATTGGCCATATAATTGTGGGTTCATTTCTAGGCTTTCTATTCTGTTCCATTGACCTATATGAAGCTTCCTCAAAAAATTAAAAATAGGACTATCATATGATCCAGTAATCACACTACTGGGTATTTCCCCAAAGAATATGAGAATGCTAATTTAAAGGATACATGCATCCCTAAGTTTATTGCAGCATTATTTATAATAGCCAAATTATGAAAGCAGCCCAAGTGTCCATCAACAGATGAATAAATAAAGAAGATGTGGTGTATATATACAGTGGAATATTGTTCAGCCACAAAAAGAATAAAATTTTGCCATTTGCAACAACATGGATGAATCTAGAGAGTATAATGCTAAGTGAAATAGGTCAGTCAGAGAAAGACAAATATCATATAATTTTACTCATATGTGGTTTTTAAGAAACAAAACAAACAAATAAAGGGGGGAAAATACACAAACCAAAAACCGGACTCTTAAGTATAGAGAACAAACAGATGGTTACCAGAGGAGAGGTGGGTGTGGGGATGGATGAAATAGGTGAAGGGGATTAAGTGTGCACTTTTCATGATGAGCACTGAGTAATATGTGGAACTGTTGAATCACTGTATTGTACACCTGAAACTAACAACATTGTTTGTTAACTAGAATTAAAATTATAAACTTAATGATAAAAAAAGACAGAAGCAGTGTCATAGCACAACTCCCTGGGATTTTGGAGCAAAACACCGCTTTCTCTTGCAAAGAACTATTTGATTGTTAAAAGTAAAATATGAATTAAGTACAATAAACCTTCCCACTTCTCTTGACTTTTCTAAATTATATTCGACAACAGAAACCAAAATTATAACACTGTCTAATGTGGGTCTAAATGTATGTAGAGGAAATGTTTAAGATAATCATATTATAAACAGAGGTGTGTAAAGTAACATAAGGTTTCTATTCTATTCTATTCTATTCTATTCTATTCTATTCTATTCTTTTTTATTCTAACTGCTAAAATGACAATACCAGTAAACTGTGATTTTATGGATACAAAATGTAATAAAGTAACCACTAAAAAGCTATGTGAAAAGACATGCTAAAAAACAATATGAATCAAAATGGAGTTCTAAATAATTTCAAGTAGAACATAGGAAGGCAGGATAAAGAGAAATAAATATCAGAATATGCAGAAAACTAAAGTAATAGACAAACTCTTAAGTATTGTTATATTAAATATAAAGTGTCTTATTGAACCAATTAAATGACAGAGATTGGCAGGGAAGATCAAAAGGAAATATGATCCAAATATATGTTTCCTACAAGATACTCATTTCAAATAAAACAATAAAGTCAGTTTGAAGAAAAACTCTGGAAAAGGGTCTATCAAGCAAACATAAAAGAAAATAAGAGTGACTATCCTAATAGTACATAAAGTAGAATTTAGAGTAAAGAAAACAGAGATAGAGGGACATTACATAATAAAAGGATCTTTTACACCCAAAAGATGTAATGATCCTATACAATAGAACAGCAAAAGAGTAAAGCAAAAATGAAAGAAGTGAAAGGAGAAATAGACAAACCCATAACTATTAGAGTTGGAGGCTTCAACATCCCTCTCACAATTGATAAAGCAATTAGACAGAGAACCAACAAGGATATAGTTTAGTGCAACATCATTAACAAACAGGCTCTAATCAAAATTTATAGAACAGTTCATTCAACAACAGCAGAATACACATTTTTTCAAGTACTCGTGGAACGTATACCAAGATGAATCATATCCTGGGCTATGAAACAAACCTCAACACATTTTCTAAAAACAAAATTACATGGAGTATCCTCAACCACAATTAATCCAGATAGAATTCATTAATAAAAAGAGAATAGGAAAATCCTAGAACACTTGGAAACTAAGCAATACACCATTGAATAATTCTTAGCTCAAAGAGGAAGTCTCCAGGGAAGTCAGGAAATACATCAAAAAGAATGAAAATGAAAGTATGAGACACCAAAAATTTTGGGACACAGTTAAAGCAGTGCTGAGAGAAAAATTTATAACACTTAAAAGATAGTGGAAAAGAGGTAAAGTCACAATCATCCATGCTCAAGAATCCAGAAAAAGAAGAGCAATATAAGCCCAAAGAAAATAGAAAGAAAGAATTAATAAAAAATAAAAGTAGACATTGTGGCACCTGTCTGGGTCAGTTAGAAAAGTATGCAACTCTAGATCTCAGGGTTGTGGGTTCAAGCCCCACGTGGGCATAGAGATTACTTAAAAAGAAAAAGAGTAGATATCAATGCAATTAAAAAAAAAAAAAAGAAGGAAAAATCAGTGAAATTAAAGGCATATTCTTCAAAAATATTAATAAAATTCAGCAAGGCTGACAAGAAATGAGAAAAGACACAAATTAACCATATCAGGAATGAAACAGGAAATATCACTCAGACCCTGTAGAAATCAATAGGATAATAAGGGCATACTATAAAAATTTTGATTATACCTTGAGTGTATTAATGCCAAAATCCTGATCATGACTTGTACTATAGTTTGGTGTTATTAGTATTGAGGCACTCTATACACAGGATCACTCTGTATTACTTATAACAGCTTGTAAATCTAAAATTGTCTCAATAAAAGAATTCTATTTTCTTTTTTTTTTTTAATTTTTTTCAACATTTTTTTTATTTATTTTTGGGACAGAGAGAGACAGAGCATGAACGGGGGAGGGGCAGAGAGAGAGGGAGACACAGAATCGGAAACAGGCTCCAGGCTCTGAGCCATCAGCCCAGAGCCTGACGCGGGGCTCGAACTCACGGACCGTGAGATCGTGACCTGGCTGAAGTCGGACGCTTAACCGACTGCGCCACCCAGGCGCCCCAAGAATTCTATTTTCAAAAACAAGCAAATACCTGCAATGCCTTTAATAACTATAAGAAAATTAAATGTAAGGATTTAATAAAAATATTAAAAATATGTTTATCTTGTGGCACCTGGGTGCCTCAGTCAGTTAAGCGACCAATTCTTGGTTTCAGCTCAGGTTATGATTTCATGGTTTGTGGGACTGAGCCCCAAGTCAGGCTCTGTGCTGACAGTGCAGAGCCTGCTGGGGATTCTCTCTCCCTCTCTCTCTGCCCCTCCACCACTCTCTCTTCCAAAATAAAGAAGTAACTTAGAAAATGTGATAATCTCAATATAAAGAATAAAAAATAAAAAATAAAAAAATAAAAACATGTACTTACATACTACTGTACCCTCATGGAAACTTTACATCTCTGTGGGTTATCAGGTGACTCTGGTACTGTAATTGCTCTTCATTCCTTTTTAAACTAAGGAAAATAAGATATGTATGTATACTTTTAGATGTAATTTTATTATTTATTTATACACAAATATAATTTTTATTGATATACACAAATAATATACAGTTCATCTATTTAAACTGTACAAATCAGTGGCTTTTATATATTTGTATATTCAGAGTTGTGTAATATCACTACAATCAATTTTAGAGTATTTTCATCACTCCAAAAAGAAATTTCTTACCCATTAGCAGTCACTCTTCCAATATCCCCTACCCCCAGTCCTCTACCTCCCACCCAGCTTAGGCAACTGTCTAAATATACTTTCTGTTTCTATAGAATTTTCTATCCTGGATATTTCATAGAAATGGAAACATACACCATATGATTCTTTGTGATTGGCTTCCTTCAATTATTATGATGTTTTCAAAGTACATTCCTTGGGCGACCATTATTCTGCCTCCAAAGATGTCCACATGCAAACCCTGACACCTGTACATATGTCAGGTAACACAGCAAAGAGGAATTAAAGTTGCGGATGAAATTAAGGTTGCCAATGATCCTTTTAAATGCATTTACTGAGGCTGTTTTATGGCTTATCATATGGTATGTCATGGAAAATGCCCAAGGACACTTGAAAAGAATGTGTATCTTCTGTTCTTGGATGGATGCTGTGCTCTTGAAATTCAGGGAAATATCAGAGTGACCATCATTAGGTGAAGAGATGAAAAGTTATGAGATTTACATAAATATCAGAGGACATTTACTTTTGACTCTACTTTTTAGGAGCAAGGTTACTGAGAGCGTAAGTTGTGGGTAGAGCATGGGGAAATCTTGAACGGGGTAAAGACTATGGAAATATTTTTTCTAAGTTTTAAAAAAGCAGTGGGCCATTTTTAAACTGTAGAACAAATGTTCATTTCCTTACCAAGATGAAAAACACTTGACAGCAATGTGGAAGAACGTAATTCCGAGCTATGGTAAAAAGATTCACAATTGAAGTGTTCCTAAAAGAAAACGTATCCCATATATATGGACGGTAAAATTAAATTTAATTTATCAGTGTTGGAAAAATGTCCACTGCTGATTTCCATCTCTGGCTCCTACCTTTTGGCAGCTCATTCTGTGAGAGAATACATCTCACGGAATACATTTGATTTCTTTCACTCAACCTCCTAGAACTCAGTTTGGTTGAACAGAAATATGGAGCATTTAGTTTGATAAATATGTTATAAATAGTAGCATGTGAAGTCTACATATTTGTTACTAATCTATAATATTGAATATTTTTATATTTCTTCTATAAGCTGAAAGTGTAGTTTTACAGCTAAGTTCTGAGATAACATTGGTATTCCAAAAAGTTAATCTTCTCAAGAATTTTTATTTAGATGCTTTCTCCATATGTTATAATTTCCAAATAAATTTTCTAGCACAATATGATCTTAAAAAAAGCAGAAACATCAAAGTGGAAGAATAATTTAAATGTACATTAACAAAGTTTGGGATTCATTTGAGATTTAGAAGATCTATTTAATGATCTTTTAAAGGTGAAATACTATTTCTGATATTTCTTTTTGGATGTTATAACTCAGTAGCTGGAAGTTGAGGATTGAGTTATTAAAATAGCAGTAGATGCACTGTGTTCCAACTATAGCTGCACTCTGAATGCATATGAACTACAATCTGTGGAACAACTTTGCAACCCTGCCCTTAAATGTTGTTATGACTTGGGTTCTGTTCTTTTCATCTCTCAGATATTGCTTTGAATCCTCAGGAAATCATATTGATCTAGGAACACAATTACATATGTAACCATCATTTTAACATCTATTTATGAATTTTCTAGTCTGACAAGAGCTTTGCCTGTAAGATGCCACTATATGCAAGAAAAATATTTTTTTATACTAAATTCTGATTTTAATTCAATAATCCACACTACTGGAACACAGAACCAAATGCAAGAAGTGGAGGTTTATATGGTGTGTACCTCCATGGGATCAATAATATCAATCTTGAGAATTTGACTTTATTACCACAGAGGTCTGTAGATAGATAGTAAATGCTGCTGTTTCCAAGGAGAAGTTAATCTGCCCATTTTAGTCAATCCACCTACAAAAATGAATAAAGGGCTAAGTCAAAGACAAAAAGCACCTCTATTAAGTCATAATTAGGTCAGTCAGGATTAAACAAAGGAAAAAGACAAGTTTTCTTCATAGGTGGTCATAAAATCACAAAACAGAAAGAATATTTAGTTCAGCTTATCAGCATTATTCTTAACAGATTATGAAAATAATTTTGGAATTACCCCTTTGTAATTTTAAATGGCAATTGAATTTAGTTATTTTTGTAATTTAAATAGTATCACAGGGAAAAGAAAGAGAGCCAAAGTGGGTTTTTTTGTTTTTGTTTTTGTTTTTGTTTTTGTTTTGTTTTGTTTTTTTCAGCTCTAAGCACTGAAAAGATTATGGTTTCCTGCTTTGGTTTAAAATCAAAAAGGAAAACCAGCCTAAATTATAAAGTAATTGTAAATTACAAAATGTTCTGATTTTTGCCCTGAAAGCTACTTCACAATTTTTGAAATATCAAAAATCAAATTATTTCAAAAATATTGCCAATGCCCTACATTGCTGCATGCAGTTGGTCTCCTTGTGGGTAAGACTAATGGTCATGCCAGGAGATGTTTTGCCAATTGGTCTGATGGTCTTTAAAGTCCCAATATAATATTTTTTATTTTGTTGGGAGAATGGGCACATGTGGTTATGAGAGTAGTAAGAATGGGGAGCTAGGAGAAAAATAACAACCTTATAACCCTCCCTTTGTTGCTGCTATTATACTTCTAATGAGAACCATTAGATGCTACTCATCCAGATGAAAACTAGCCACACATCAATTTCATCACCCATTAAGTTGACACGTCTCATTTTATAGCTCTCCACATTGTAAATGCTAGAAATTTGTAAAAGATGTCAATTCTTTTTTTTTTTTTCAGAACTTTTTTTTCAAATATTCTTATAAGCATGGGTAATATAATTTAAAAACCTGTAGTCAGGGGCATCTGGGTGGCTCAGTGGTTTAAGGCTCTGATTCTTGATTTTGGCTCAGGTCATGATCTCACAGTCATGAGATGGAGTTCAGTGTCAGAGCTCTGTGCTCAGCTGGACCCGGCTGGGATTCTCTCCCTCCCTCTCTCTCTTGCCCCTCCCCTGCTCCTTTCTCTCTTTCTCTCAAAATAAGTACATAAACATTTTCAAAAAACCTATGGCCATTGGATATTAAAATTCAAATTCATGTGTTCTCTACATGTTTCAGGTCTAGAACATGTTTTATTATGAATAGATAATGTAGTAAGAGCCCTCTTAGACTGAATTTGGTCAGTATTGCATTTCTAATGCTCTTTCCTTACTAGTTTTTGGTCTTAAATTTCTTCTTTTCTGACAAATTTGACCCTATTCAAATTTACTAATGAACCTAATATTTTCCCATTGAATCAGAAAGATAGGTTCATCGCATTTTACAATTAAAAAAAAACTTCCATGGGAAAATGTGTGAGATTTTAAATCTCCATAGTGTATATTCATGTACTTTCAAACCCCAATTCTTTTTTGGCTTGCAATGTGAAAACTGGCTATTTGTGTTACATAATTTATCTGGGCAGGAATGCACACTGAGTAATAGCTATTATGTAGTTGATGACATCTAGGACCTGGGTCAGAGGATCTGAATTCCAGTCTTTTTCTGCCACATTTAGCTACATTAATTTGCATGATAACAGCCTCTTCACTCAATTTCCTTCTCTGTAAAAGATTAATAAATGCTAAAGTAACAGTAGCATGATAGTGATTTAAAAGGGCATATTACGATGATGTCATTCTGGAAATTTTAAGCGCCCTAAACTCTAGCGGGAATTAAAGAAAAGTAGATCTTTATGGTGGAACAATGGGCTAAAATTAAGAGATAATACTGCTGTATGTTGAACTCCGTTGCTATAGTAGAGAATACTGAGTCTTCAATTAGCTGATTATATGAAAAATACGTGGGGTTTTAGTTGACAACTGCATCCCTATAAGTGAAAAGCGTGATTTCATTGCTTAAAAAATCATGAAAGCTCATGTTGCATTGGAGGTCATATTGAAAACAACAGAAATCATTATCTGAAGAACTGAGGTGTTGCCAGAATCACTGCAGTGAACTTTTAAGTGATTAGATGTTTCCCTGCCTTTAATAGCACCCACTTTCCAATTTCTTTCACACCGGCACAAAAGGATATTTTGAAATTTTAACACAACACTTTCCATCTTAAAATCAGTCTGTGGCTCTCTATTGCTTTAGGCAAAAGTGTACAAATTCATCAGCATGACATACATTCCCCTGGGGTAAGACTGCTGTTAATCTCCTGGCCTCATCTGTGCCCACTCTCTCTGTTCCTCTCACCCTGGAGACACAAACTGAAACAAACTATCTTGTCACACCAGGGTGTCTCAGTTCCTCATGTCCTTACCCACTAGTGGATCCTCTGCCTGGATTTCTCCTCACCCTGTTCCGATCTTCACACTTGACTCAGTATCCTTGGAGTAATCCTTATTATCTTTCAAGATGCAATTTTTAAATTTTTTTTTAACATTTATTTATTTTTGAGGCAGAGAGAGACAGAGCATGAACGGGGGAGGGGCAGAGAGAGAGGGAGACACAGAATCGGAAACAGGCTCCAGGCTCTGAGCCATCAGCCCAGAGCACGACGCGGGGCTCGAACTCACGGACTGCGAGATCGTGACCTGGCTGAAGTCGGACGCTTAACCGACTGAGCCACCCAGGCGCCCCTCAAGATGCAATTTAATCATCAATGTGCTTTAAGAACTACTTTGGGTTAAGTGAGCTCTCTTATGTTTATTTTTTTAAGGGGAAATTTTATTTATTTTTATTTTTCTGTGGTAAGAACACTTATCATGAGATTTACCCTCTTAACAAATTTTACAGTGCACAATACCATATTGTTAAGTATAGGCACTCTATTGTACAGTAGATCTCTG